CTGGCAGCAGGGCTGGCCAGGCACTGCCACAATTTTCCAGTGGGGAAGCAGCGACTGGGAGGGGAGCCGAGGAGCTCACTGGGCAGTATTTAATCCACAGGCACATTTGCAGCCCCAGTCACAAGCCAGGCTCCTCCTGCTGCTTGGATTCCGCTCAGGGAGCGTGGTAGGAAGTGATTCCCTGCGCTGCTGCTGCTGCTGCTGCCCTTGGAGTGTCTTCTCCCCAGGTTTTGGCTCTGTGTGAGGCAGGCAGGTCTCCTCCCTCCGAATTACTCCAGGTGGGCCAGGCTGGACTGAGAGCAGCCCTTCTGCAGACTCCCCCAGGATGAGTTCCATGCTGAGCTCGGCCCTCCGGGCCCTCCCCGTGTCCTCAGCCTGGGCTGCCGGGGCCTGTGAGTATCCTGGGCTTTGCTAAAGGTCGCAAACTTCCAGCTGTGGTGTTGGCTTCGGGATGGAGGCTGGGACCTGAACCCCTGCTCTGATCTTGCCTTAGAAAAGCTGACAGTGTTTTATTTTCTAATCACCTGATTACGCTGTTGCTGTGTTTGCCCCTTCCCCAGCCCTTCCCTGTGGAAACCAGAAACGTTCCTGACGCTTTTTTTGCCATTTTCTCCTTGTTTTCCAGTTGCTCGGTCGTTCAGCTGCTCCTCACAGCTCCAAGCCACAGGTAAAGGGAAAACACCTGGAATCTCAGAGGGTCTGTGCTGGACAGGGCTGTTTTGGAAGCTGCCTGCCTTTTCCAGAGTCTTGTTTCACTTAAACCTTGGGAATGGTGCAGAGTGCCTTAGTACAACTGCTCCTGAAAAGCTGCAAACAAGGAAAACTGGAGGCACATCGCTGTTTACAGTCCTCTCGTCCCCTGAGTGCTCCTTGCTCACAGCAGCCTTTCCTGGCCTGCCTCTGGCTTCCAGCAGCCATTCCCAGCCTGCTCTGAATGATGCTGGATCATGACATAGCTTGTCTTCAACCTCTCCCTTTAGGGAGAGATCTTCTTCCCATTGGGAAGAAATTCCTCCCTTGGGCAGGCCCTGGCACAGGGTGCCCAGAGAAGCTGTGACTGCCCCTGGATCCCTGGCAGTGTCCCAGGCCAGGTTGGACGGGGCTTGGAGCAACCTGGGCTGGTGGGAGGTGTCCCTGCCCATGGCAGGGGGTGGGACTGGATGGGCTTTGAGGGCCCTTCCCACACAAAACCAGCTCAGGGGTCCTTCCTTCCCTGCCTTTCACTCACGCACCAGAAGCGGACAAGTTCCCAAGTTTTTTAGTAGTTTTTGCAGGGTCTACGTTAAACTTGCTGACGTTCTTGTCAGCATCACTCCTCTCCTTGCAGCCCAGCCCAAGACTAAGAAGACCCTGGGCAAAAGTGGGGTGAAGAATGTGGTGGTGGTGGATGGCGTCCGCATCCCGTTCCTGCTGTCAGGCACCTCGTGAGTATCAAACGAGAGGAGAGGGCACAAAACACCCCCTTCCTGTGAAAAATGGGCTTGCCTGTTCTTTTTAATGTAGTTATTCTTAGGCCCAAAGGCTCTGAAGTGGCAGTGGCTCAGGCTGTTGCAGTTATTGCAGCTTATCTGAAGCAGAAACGAGGCTTGAAGCAGGTTGTCCTTGTGTATGAATTCTGGGAAGAATGAGGATTCATGAACTGTGTCTACAGGAGCCTGTTGGGGAATCTATAGCAGATAAAACAACAAGTTTCACAAAACTAGCAGGGCAGGTGCCAGGAATCTGCTGGAGACTCTTCTTACTGGACTCTTCTCCGGCCGTGTGCTCTGGCCCCCAGAACCCCCCGTGCCCTGGGCTGGTCCCGCAGGGATCGTGGGCAGCAGGGCTGGGGGGATCCTGCCCCTCTGCCCCCTCAGCTGAGCCCCCCCTGCAGAGCTGCCCCCAGCCCTGGGGAACAGCAGCACAAGGACGTGGAGCTGCTGGAGACAGTCCAGAGGAGG